CCAACCGACAATGACCACTTTGAAGTTGAAGGATGAAAAAAGTTTTTTCTTCTTCGTCTTCTTCCGTATGCCCAAATTGGAAGCTACGATTCTTAGTTTGTCAAGTTAAATGAGAATGGCAAATTGACTTGTCACATGTGATTTCACAACCAATGTTGTCTTTGATAATTACTTTAATTGATTGTCTTAAATGATTTCTTGGAACATACAGTATGATGCAATAAGTTGCTTTGAACTCAAAAACTTTCAGCTTCTTCCTCATTCAGCCTTCTCTATCTCTCTACCTTCATCAAAACTCTTTTGCTTCTTGTTGTTCCTTCTCCATCTACTCCTTGTATTTCTGTTTGGAAATTCGCGTGAGAAAATGAAAAGAAGCATAGCATAGAGCTTGTATCCTCTCTGAACTGTCCTTCTCTGTTGCCTATGTGCAGACATTGAAAAACTTTGTTTATTTCGTTGTTTTTCCTTACAAACAGTATAGTCGAATAAGCTTTTGCTCATAAACATTCATATAAGCTTCTCCTCCTAACGACGGACTGTTATATGATATACCGTATGATCTTAAGAGTGAGTTTCTAATTTGAACAGAGAGAGAGAGAGAGATGAGAGATAGAGATAGAGAGATAGAGAGATAGGTACCTGAGAGGTAGTTCACTGTGAAAGAGGATAATAAAACGAATTGAAAACGAAAAAAAGATGAGAAGAGGTTGAAGAAGGACGAAGCATTCAGATGAGATATGACGTTGGTTTTCATCTTTGAGATATCATTGAAAAGCCTATTTTCACAGTCTTCCAAACAGTCTTTGATTGTGAGATGAAATGATCGAGTGATCTTGCTTTAGACATGGCTAGTTAACATTGAGAGATAGAGAGAAGTGAGAGAAAACGAAAAAGCTTATGAAGTAAGGTGAGTGTATGATTCTGATGGTCTCTATTTATTTTGATCTTGAGTAGATTTCAAGAATGAGCCGCTCAATCTATATCCCTTCGGGTGGTAACGTAATACAATATTCATTTGTGTCATTTGGTAGTTCTCTTGATTTCTTTTGCTTCCGTTATTCATGTGTATTTCAAAGCTTTTTTTTTTCTTTTTGGCTTCTCCTTCATCTTCATTGCCTTAGCTCCCTTGTGTTCTCTCTCACTCATATGTTCGTGTTCGCTCTCATCCTTCTCACATCTATGGAATGGTTTTTGAGAGAGATAAACCTCTGCGAACACTGCTCGCCTCCTTCTTTGGCAGTGTTGCAGCCTTCCTTCCTTAACCTTGCAACTCAAAAAAAATGAAAATGAATTGTATTGGAGTACTTCAGAATATATTTGTTCACCTTAGATGAAGATCTCCTGATCTCTGATCATCCTTCACACAAATCCCTCTCTCTCTCTACCTCTCTCTCTCTCTCTACCACTCCCTCTTTCATTAAAATATTTTTTTTCTTCCAAATTTCTCTTCAGACGTTTTTCATTTTATTTATTTTTATTTTCTAAACATTACAATAGAAGGATGTAAGCTTGAAGTCAGAAGCCCTTCTATGCTGCTTCTGCTACAGAGGGTAAACTCTCTTTCGAACTTTTTTTATTTGAATTCTGTAAACTCTTGCTCTGCTTATCACATTCCTTTGATTTCTGTTCATTTATCATCTGAGAGTTGTTCAAATTTCAAGAAACACAGAGGGAGATAGAGAGAGAGTGAAACATAACATGATATCATGAGAATTAGAGATAGAGAGATAAAGAAATCAAGTAGGAAAGAGAGATGGCCAAGATCACAACCATTTTCACATGTCAGCAGTTCGCATTAGCTGAGGATAACAGCAGTTTCGTCGTTTTCCAGACCCTCAGTTCTCTTTTTGCTTTTGCTTTCTATTCGGCCTATCATTTCATCCGTCAAAAATCTCCCAGGGGTCTATTACATTGGAATCACGTAGTCTCATCTCTTTCATTTTCAACGAAAGCGTTCTTTTTTATCTTCTGCTGCTTCTTCTTCTTCTTAACAAACTTTACTTCAACGCTCATCTCTCTCTCTCTATCTCTCTGCCTCTCTCTCTCCTTCTCTCTCTTCACTCTTGTTGCTCTTCCTTAAAAGGAACAACAGTATAGATGACAAAACAATCCAATTGTTCGTTAAGCACACATGTTGCTAACACACATTCCAATTCATTAACTTGACGTGAAGCTTTATCTTAAATGTATTTAAACGTTCTTTTTTTCTTCTCAAATTACCCTCTTACCCAACTTCTAATCACCGAACAAAGCTTCGTCGTCTTCAGCTTCATCCTCTTCCATTTCCTTATTGAGCTATCTGGAAAAACAATATGTTTTTGACCCTTCCAAATGAAATGCAACCGTTCCGAGTAGAAAACAATGACTGAATGCATCTCACGTGAACATCCACGTAAACTCTTACGTAACGCCTTAGTCTTACGTGAGACTCACGTACGTGAAACTTCACGTACATGCAAATGGAGCTTGAAAGTATAAATGTAAAAGCTCAAAATGCTAGTTGACCAAAATTTTCATTGTTAATTGCTTGTTTTCCGTTGACTAAGGTTGATTGCATGCAATGGAGGGTGCTTATCACATAGGCAAAAGCACATTGGGATGCTTCATCTACGAATTGTCTCTTTGTTCTTCAACAATCCAACAATGCATGTGAATAGAAGTTGTTACACGCGAAGATCTTTTTGTTAAAATCTTTCGATGAAATAGAATTCATTAATATGATAAGTAGCTTGTTTGGTCCTTTCAATGATTCAAGCTTATCCTATCCCCTGCCCCCCTCCCCACACACCATTTAACTTTTCATCCTCTTTATTTGCAACATTTGTCTTGTCCCTCTTATGACTGGTGAGTTATCAACTAGTCTCTCTTGATGTGAGCTTCTTTGTTTTTCCTCTCTTACCCTTTTAACCTCTCTCTCCATGTGTCTTAGTAGACTCTTCCTACCGGCTCAACATTGCAGTTATCCTTTTAGCCTTCTGACCCTCTTTTTCTCAGAAGATTCTCTCCCTCTCTGTCTCTCTTCCTTATTGCTCCTCCAAACTTTTCTATCTTTTTTACTTTTGAACCTTTTGGCCTTCTATCGTCTGTCCTACCCAACTCCCCACCCATAACTCTACCCCCTTACCCCTTGTTGAAATAACCCAAATGTACTTTATCTAGAAGAAACACAACCGCTACTACTTCAACCTCCTTATCATGTTTTCTTGTTTCAGCCACACACAGAATCTTATTGACAAATTATTTTTCTTCACTTTCATCTTAACAAAAAACATCTCAGATTTTCAATTTCTGAAAAGTTCAATTAGGATGGCGGCAGTTTGACTTCATCTTCAACCGACTGATTGTTACTTGTTGGATTCTGTCCGTTAAAAGCCTTCAGAAGCTTTTCACCCCTACCATCTCATCTTATACATCACATTCCTCTTCTACTCTTATGCACATTGCCATTACAGACTGAAAATGTGCTGATTTTCAGTTTCTTCTTCTTCTTCTTCTTCCAGCAGCTTCATCTTCTTCAAGCTTCACTTGTATGTAACCTAGACAGAATCGTGCCTTCTCTCTCTCTCTCTCCTCCCTTACTCTCTTTCAATCCTATCCTTTTCCAAAAAAATTTGTTTTTGATTCTTTGAAAGATCATATCCACTTGGTTGATTTCAGTCGCACAAGTTAAGTATTCAATCGTCACAGAACATCTAACGGTCAACTTTATAGAAAAACTGCTATTTATGGGCAGTCACTCACAATAGTTTGTGGCTTTGTGTCATCCAGATGTTGTGTGTCTTTCAAAGATAACTTTCCAAACAATCCGACCTTCATTCATATGAAGTCCATTAAACCTCATGTTCAGCTCCACGTGCTAAATGATAGATTTATGAGCCAATTGTTTCTGCCAGTTCCTTCTTCCTTCTCTCTCTCTCTGCACTCTCTCACAATCATTACTCTCTCATTCTCTTTTACCTTTTTCATTGCTCTGGTTGCTCTTTTTATTTGGCCATACTTTCCTTCGTCACTCTTCCTTAAGTTTTCAAATCTCCAATCTGCCCTACCCTCTATCTCTCATCACATGTAAGCTCAAACCTGATCATCTTCCTCTCTACAAGGGCACGAAGTCTGTTTTTTTGGGGAGATGAAGCAGATACTTAATTTAACAGGGAACTTTTATTTTCTAATGTCTTTCACATAAAAAGAAACTTTAAACGAAGACAATCCACCGGAACACGATTTTTTCCATTCTGTCATCCGGAAAATTCCAAGGACCACCTCAATAGCCAACAGCTTCTCTCTCTCTCTCTCTCTTTCTCTCTCTCTCTCTCTCTTATACTCTCCTCTCTCTCTCTTTCATGTTTCTTTCTATTTTTCTATTTAACTTTCTTTTGATTTCTCTATTTTTGAGTTTTGTTCCTTCTCTTCTTAACCTTAGATTGTTCTGATTAAGTCGTACCTGACTGGCCAGCCGAAAGACGGCTCTGCAAAACGGCTTTCGGTTCTGCCGTTTCAGCAGCTTCAAACGCCAGTTCTAATAGACAAAAAGAATTTTTCTACATTTTTATTATAAACTATCTTAGTTCATCTTGTGAACATTAATAAAAACGAAAGTAGTTCACCTTACTGAAAGATCATTGAAGTTGCCAAAGAAGGAGACAACTGAGAGATTATGTAAACATGAGAGAGTATCAGAGAAGAGGGGGAAACTCAAATACTTCTCTGTTCTTTTGACAAATGTTTCGCTTTCATAAAAATGATTGTCTATTAAAAGATTTACATTATTTATATTTTCTTTTGTACTTCACGTGTTACTTCTGTATGTCCTGACACTCCTCTGCACGTGACCCCGCTTTTCATTTCGAAAATTGACAGAAGGTTGAGCGGTTGTTTTTCATTTTCATCTTTCTCCATTCTCCTCATCATCATCATCATAAGCACAGAAATCTCAATTTACATTTATATATTTTATAATTTTAATAAATTTGTTTTAAATAATTGTTTTCAGGCCAGCATTAATGGCCGGGGCTGTTCAGCCCTCTGAGGGCCCTTCCCTCTCACTTTCCTTCCGTAATACGCAATTGTTCCATCTCGTAATGAAGGTACAGAATTGAAAAAACAGATTTCTGATGTATTTATCCCCAATAACCTTTGAGGAACTTTTTTCCCTTCTTTTTCATAAAACTTGAGTATTCTAGGCGTTGGAATCGACCGGAAATACAACATCGTTGCCGGATTTACTGGACGGCAGTTCCGAAGTTGTTTCCCTATCTTCCAGTTATGGAGAGGAATCCCTGGTTGCCGCAATCATTGTCATTGGGGCAATCTTCTCTATATTGACAACAGTAGGAAATCTGATGGTAAGTTCTCCTATCTGACACATAAGAGGTAGCATGATCTGCTTTAGGTAATGATAAGCTTCAAAATCGATAAACAGCTTCAAACTATTAGTAATTACTTTTTATTCTCATTAGCTGTAGCTGATGTCGCCATCGGTAAGCTCTGTTCTGTGATAATGACAGTCACACAAGTGTTTTAGGAATGATATCAATCCCATTGATGACATACTACTTCGCAATGAGGTCGTGGGGCATTGGATACACTATGTGCCAATTCTGGTTAGAAATCCTTCATTCAAATTATGCTTTCAACGTTGGTTTAGGTTATGCGTGGACTATCTGATGAGCAATGCTTCAGTATTGAATTTATTGTTGATATCATTTGACAGATATTTTTCTGTAACAAGGCCGTTGTCATATAGACCCAGGTAAGTCTAGGCTTAGCCCTCTCAGCTTGCAATGATGATCTTACAGGAGAACAACTAAGAAAGCTTTGACTATGATAGCTTGCACCTATATAATATCAACGATCTTATGGCCGCCATGGATTATCAGTTGGCCATACATAGAAGGTAAGCTGTCGTTTCTATCATATAGCATCTACTCGATGATCGTTGCAGGCAAATTCACTGTAGAACCGGGTACTTGTGTTGTTCAATTCTTAGAAACGAATCCTTATGTCACTGTTGGAACAGCTATAGCTGCTTTCTACTTGCCTGTTACCATTATGATCATCTTATACTTTCGGGTCTACCGTGAAACTCAGAAACGACAGAAAGAGTTCGGAAAGCTGCAAGCTTCTCAGGTAAGCCTTTCCTTCCATGAACATTCGATTCATTCATTTGTTCTTCTCTCCACTTTCTCAATTCTTTATTTCGTTTTTAATAGTTTAACTATTCGACGAACACACATACTAAAGCTCGTAGGGCCATATCCGAGCCCAAGAAGGTAATAAGAGAACCTCAATCAAGCATGTTCCTTTACTCTTCATGCAACTATCACTTAGATTCTTTCCTATAGCGATCATTCCTTCAGCTCTTACTCTCGCTCGCTCGCTCTATTTCTTTCTTTCTCCTCTTCAACCCTATCATGAATCTCAAACAACTTTTTCTATTTCAAGTTTCCTCGGCGATCTATTCGAAGGGACACCTCTTCCAATTCCATCATAAAGAATGAACGTTCTGGATCTGAGAAGAAGCATGCTTGGTCCTTCTCTCTTTCACAGAATAAGCCGTGAGACCTTATCAATAGATTTTTCCTCTTCAACTTGGTTTTTCAGTACTGTCGCTAATCGTAAACGAGCTTCTTGGCTTCGATACTGTACTGGCAGATCTCAGACATCATCTGAAGATAGTTCTGAAGCAGCAGTTGTCAACGTGGATGATACTTCAATGACATCTTCTTTATATACATCGAAACGGAAGAATACTAGCCCAACATGTAGTCCGATGCCACCAAATGAAGTAAAACCTGAACTTGAAAGAACTGTAGCTAACCACTCATTATGTTTCAGGATACGCAGTCAGCTGAGACCCACGTTGAGAATAGTCCACGTAACGGATCATATAGATTTCGGTCAAGAGATCGACCAGATAGACCTGTTTTAGATACATATACGGTATGGTTACTATTCTTCTTTGGCCCAAGCTTATATATGTTATGCAGGTTTTGATAGAGCTGAAAGATGAAGGAACGCGTCCAAGTGTGCGCTTGAGTACCTGTGAATCCCCAGTTATAGAGTGAGTACTTTTTGTATTTAAACTCCTTTTTTGCTTATTCACTTGTTGTGTTCAATGAACACTTTATTGATTTTCATGCTTCATTCAATAATTAGCATATTACGTGCTTATACTTTACGTCTGACGTCACACGTGAAGTACACGTGAAATTAGAGTTTTCATTTTTGAATTGGCAACCACACAAACACGTAGCTGTGCATTCAAATTGATACATCGCAATGATATACTTTTCATTTTTTTTTGTTTCAGAAGACCTGAGAATGTTCTTCGTTCAAAGAGTGAGATGATTACCGAGCATGCAAATGAGTTTGGAAAGCGGTTAAGTCATAAAGGTAAACAACAACATCAATCACTGTGAGAATCATATGTTTGTTTAGAAACTACCTCTCCAACCAAGAATGGACGTTTGTTAAAGGGTTTCTCCTCTGTCAATGATCGTAAGAGTGAGAAAGAGAGAAAGAAAAATGAACGGAAGCAAGAGAGTAAAGCTGCCAAGACGCTATCAGCCATTCTATGTGCTTTCATAGTCACATGGACGCCTTATAATTGTGAGTTCCCTTTGAACCAGATACTTCATAAATCATATTCATTGCAGTAATTGTATGTTGGGAAGCATTCTTTCCAAAAACTATCCCAGACACACTGTTTCAAATCAGTTACTGTCTATGTTATATCAATTCAACAATAAATCCTCTCTGTTATGCTCTATGTAACGCCAGGTAATTGAATAGACTGAAGGCTGTACCTCCTTATCCTCTTCCAGATTCCGTCATACCTACCAGCGTATTCTGCGATGTAAATATGGTACAGAAAGGCCGAATATTAGTCGAAATGCGTACATCCGTCGTCAATGCTGAGACTCATGGAGAATTCGTTTCTCTCTCTCTCTCTCTCCCTCTCTCTCTCTCTGGATACAAAGCGCTTTCCTTTATCTTTCTCAATGATATTCTGTTGATTGGCTCAATTGTAAAAAAAGAATTTATAATGTAATAGTCCTTGACGGGTTCATATGAAGCAGTATTTCGATCGAATAGATTACCAGAGTATTGAAGTGAAGAAGCTTCCAAGCTGCTTATTATTCTCATTGTATATTTATATATTTTCTTAAGACTAATCTAGATCATGGTTAATCTTGTTAATTTCCATTTGCTCACACCCACACATAGTTTTTTCTTTTTTTTTTCTTTTTTTAATAAAAATTTTTTTTATTCAACATCTTGTTCTTGAGCTTCTTCTTCGCTACCTTCGTAGTGTTCTTTACCTCATAAGCTATTAAAGACTTCTCTCACACAATGCCACTGACTGCTACACACAAACAAGGCAAACGTAACTAATTCCTCAACAAATTTCTTGGAACGTTGACAGATCTCCGGTTTTTGGTGTTCTCAAGCATTATGAATGGGCTGCCATGACATGGCGTGATCCTACCCTAACCATCTTCTGGATTTCATCTTATCAATGGGGCGTCACCTGCAAGAAGATTCTCTTACTCTCTCTGTTTGTTCCGTTTCCTTGGATACCGCTTCATCACTTCGTATTCATTCAATGATTATCTGTGTTTGAACGTACTCTTTCCAACTCTCTTTCTCTACTACTATCTCTCTCTCTTTCCATATATTTTTCAATCAAATTGGAGTTTGTGTACGTGAAAAGCACGTGGACCAGCTATCCATTTCTGAAACATATCCCGTGCACACTGATCATCTCTTTCTCTCTCGGTCGTTCTTTTTTGAAAGAGAGCCTCAATTGAATTTTAAAACAGAAATTTTAAGTGAAAAGCCCTTTGTAATCAGGTGAAAGCTTGAAACTCAAGATTCTGTCTCATCTTTTATTCAAAAAAGGAAGAAAATCTATTCTTTTCGTAGAAATTTCATTAAAATTTCCGCATTGCTCCCCCCCCCCCTGTCTCCACATGAGATTCTTCTCATCACAACCCCGATAATTCCTTTTTTGGTCAACTTCCCAATAGAAATGTATGAAAACTGATAGATTTTCTTCGTTTAAACTCCATACAAGTCAATAAACTCTCATATTTCACGTCAAAAAGATCACATTTCTCTCATTTTTTAGTCAAAAATGCCAATTTCCATGTTCAGTCGGCTTCTGTTCCGTTATGATTAGCCATGTTATGACAGATTTGGCATCATTAGCTTCATTCTCTTTAAATTTCTCTCTCTCACTCTCTCTCTCTCTCTCTAACAGACTCTTCATAAGACATACGCTCTCCCTGTCTTCCCTCTTTCCTGATTCCGTGTTCCCTCTTCTGGTAAAGTTCTTTTTACTCTCTTGCTCAATCCCCTCTCTCATGATCCTATAGTTCTCTCTTTCAAATCTTTTTCTGTCTTCTCCCTTCTGGAATTCATTACCATTTACTTCAGAAATAGTTGTGACATACCTCACCACGACATCACGTACTTGTCACTGCTATGTCTCATCATTTCCAAATCTGTTCAGTTGTTCATCATGATGGTGATGAAAGTTATTGTTATTGTTCATTCAAATACATTAAGGCTTCCTCAAATCTTGTTTTTATCCTCTTTTCGCTGATTATTATCAACACCCAACATCCAGCTTTTCCATTCATTTGCCCATTCATCTAGCTAGTCGTCTTGAACAACCTCAATCGTTTTCTCATTTTCCATTTCATTTGCAAGAGAATTGGAAGTTCTGTAACTTGTGAAATCAGAAAATAAAATTGTTTATGTGAGAAAGAATCCTCTTCTCTCCATCTTCTTCTTACCCTCTGACTTCCCGGCCATTCTTCAACTTCGGACAATTTCCGGCAGTTGTCATGTTTGTTACCGGTGAGTTCATTCTCTCTTCCTCCCTCCCTGCAGTCTAGGCTCATGAAACATATCAGTTTATCAGTTGCATATCTTACTACTACTTCTTCCTCTATCTCCCTCACATTCTTCCTTCCTCTCTGTGCATGTCTTGAGCGAAAAGCTTTTTTTTTCTTTTATTGAAGTGTTCAATTACAATTGAATTAGCAACTAATGAAAGGAACTTCATTCAATTCGCCATTCTCTTTCAAAGGCCTATTCTCCATTTTCTCTTTATTATGAAGAACTTTCATCACCTCATATACCCCATTGACGTCTACATTTCTACTCTCATTCAGAGTCATTTGCATAAAATCTTAAAAAATCACGTGCTACTTCCACGTGAATTGCAAATGATCATTCGCAGTTGATCATTTGGCGTGACTCGGTTGTATTCCTTCGATTACATAATAAGGAAGCTTTCAAACTTTTTTTTTCTTTTTTTTGTTGTTTTCTCCTCTTTCCATGTCTACAGGGCTCATCTTATTCTCTCTCTCTCACTCTGTTTCTCTCCAAGTACGTTTGTCTTTTCGTGCCATTTCAAAGCTTACAATTCCTTTCTCAATCACTCTGATCTTTTTCCCTCCTTGAAGGCTTGTCTTTCTTTTTATACTCTGTCCATCTCCCTCTCTCTCTCTGTTCTTCACTTTTTCCCCTTCTCTCTCTATATATATAGATATTCTCAATCCCCTCTATATCCTCCCCCCTCTCTCTCTCTCTTTCTCTTCTATAGTTTCAAAGCTTCTCTATAAGTTTCTCTTTGACAAATACTTTACTTTTCAGAAAAGATTTTTTTGTTTTTCTCCTCAAAATTCTCAAATTCACATTTTTCATTCGTTTTTTTAAAACTTCTTCTCTTTACGTTTAACCATCATTTCAATTGACGCAGCACAATGGCTTTTCCCTAATTTGATCTTCGAGGTTCTTCTCTGATCACTTCGTTTCTTCTTTCTATTCGTTCATACTCTTTATCATTTTCTTATTTGAAGGAAAAGATCTGTAAGAAGAGCACAACGACCACACGCCTATTCCATGTTAACGGATCGTCTTTCTCGCTTTCGTTTTGGAAGCTTGAGAACACTTTCTCCAAGACGTTTCCGAACCTCATCAACTTCAACTGAGCCATCAGAAGTACAATCCGCACCTCCAATTCCATTATGCCAGGTATGTTTGTCACGTTTATGCTTCATTTCCCTCCAAATGAGAAACGAATTGAAGTTCATTTGAAATGCAACCGCTCATGTGTCTAGTGTGAATGACAATGAAACACACGTGAACTTTACGTGAAAATGACGAAAGGTCTAGATGAAAATAAAAACAGGCGGTAAAAAATAAAAATTTTTGCCTTCACACTTACATTGTTTGACATCCATTTGTGGTCTTTTCGCCCACGATGTCATCTTCATGGCATCAAAAAGAAGAAAATATGATATTGGAGAATACATTTGAAGTCAAAAGTCTAAGAGAATGGATGGCAAAAAGGGTGGCCAAAGTTAAATTATATCGTCCCGTCGGGAATTCTCAGAGCCCAGAAATGAATGAAGTTGAAAGAACAAAGATATTGAAGAGTAAAATGTTCAAGAAGAAGAAGACACACACACACAACGCCCTCTATGTGCATTTTTTTTGCTTTTCTCTGGCTCATCAAACTGCCCCCCCCCTCTCTCTCTCTCTCTCTACTACCTCCCTCCTTCTCTCCCTTCTCTATCTCTCTCCCTCTTAATCCTCTCCATCTCTCTATCACGAATCTTTCACTTCTCCTTTTTGGAAAAAAAATCAAATTGACAACTTACTTAAATTCCCAACAACTCAATCTTCGACTTTGCTTCTTCGTATCTTCCATTCCGAGCTTCTTTCGCTTGTGTGGTCCATCCAGTCATTTTTGCAAAAAAATTGAAAATTTCAAAATTTTTGTCCAAAAGAGGAAAAAGCCAACAAGCTACTGTTATCAAGAACAACTTTGTTGTTTATCATTTCTCTTTCTCTTACACCCTCATAACTTTACTGCTACTCTTACTCTCTCTCTCTTTCTCTCTGTTAACCCCACCCTCACTCTCGATCTTTCTCCTGCGTATTTTGCGTATTTATTCTGTCTCCCCTCCGTTCGTTCATTCCTTCTTGTTTTCAAAACTTTTTGGCGTTGCTAATTATATATTTCAATTTCTTCAAAAAAAATGATTGATCCTCATGATGATGCTCTCACATGCTTTCCAGCCGCCCCCGCCGCACCTTTCTCTCTCTCTCTCCTTCTCTCTCTATTCATAATCCTTTCTATCAAAACATTACTTTTCATAATTACAAACCGGATTGCGTATTTTAAATTTCTTTATCTTATTCGTTAAAACTCCCAAAAAAGGCAGTCAACTGATAGTTTTTGAACTGAAATAACCTTTCGGGCCAGTCAGCACTCGCACCAACTCGCTTTCCCCATGATTTAAAAAAAGATTTTTAATATCACTTCCTATTGAGGTAATTCATTCTATTTTTATATCATCGTAGTAGGCAAATGAAGGCTGAGATCCTATTGAGAAGCAGATGGTTGTGAAAATGATTACAGATAGACAAAGAGACAGTGACACATAGAGAGAGAGGGAGTGAAAGAGAGAGGTGTGAGCAAGGATGGTGAGAGGAAGAGAAGAAGAGCTAACGATCCCATGCTACTTTCACTAAATTAATACGAGAATTATGAATAAAGCTGAATAAATGAATGTAGATATAGCCATTAATGATACAACAATAGCCTTTAAAGGAACAAAAGTATTTCCGAAATCAAAAAAAAAAAGATGAGAAGTTCCGACATTTGACTTTTTCGTTTCCGTTACTTCAACCAGAGCTCAACTCATTCTGTCTCGTTCTGACTTCCATTTGCCACACGGCAACATAACATTTCTTTTTTTCCCCCTTTCTGTCTATCTCCCTCTCTCTCTTTCTTCTTTTTGCCTTACTCTCTTTCCCTTTCTACGCTCTCATGATAATTCTTAAAAAGAAAATGAACGAGAGAAACGTAGATCATCAGAAGCCACATGGAAACATCACAAGACTTTCCTTACGTACACCAATTTGCATGTGGTTATTCTAGCTAGAGCAATTGCCTCAAGTCAAAGTCAATGCTGGTAGTGGTGAAGTTGATAGACGGCAGTTGACGCCACTGGGCGCCGTCAGATTCTAATCCTTCTCCATCTCTGTCAGTCTCTTTTCCTTTTTTCTTCTCTCTCTCTCTCTCTCTATCTATCTCCCTCCTTCTTTTACATACACAGCCTTCCGTTTAATAAAATTTATTTTTTTTTCTTTGCAAACGCTCTCTCTACACTCTACCCTACCCCACTCCCCTCTCATATAAACTTCCATCAAGCAGCCGAAGGTATTTTTATCACACAAACACAAAGATGGAAATTAACCGACACACATATCACCCTTCGATCTATTTGTCAACGATAACGTTTTACATCCTCCATTCAAACAGTTCGTTTGAACAGCCCAGAGCTTTGCAATCATTCAAATATCATTTGTTTCTTGTTAAGATTGTGCATAGTTATTATAGTCACATATATATATATATATATATATATAGGGAGAGAGAGTACATGTCTTCCATTCACCCTCTACGTACTCCAATACAGTTCCACCATGTATGCTAGTTATCATGTAAAGTATAGGTTGCCAAAATATCGATCGCTTTGTACTATCACGCAAGTACGTGAAAAACGTTTTATTTGTTAATGTCAATTGACGTTGAACGGTTGCGTCTTTCACTGCTGCTCCTCTATCTAACCCCCATCATCCTCCTCCTCACCCCTTCTTCTTCTAATTTTGTTTTTTATTTCTCTGTTTTTTATCATACGTCTCGTCTGTCTTTTACATTTTTTTCTACCAGTTATAGTGTGTTCCTTTTATTTTTCGAATGATCTTCGTTCATTTCTATTTTATTTGAGTTTTTTGTGGCTGTGTGTGTGTGTGTGTGGTTGTGTGTGTGTCCTCGTTACTGCTGGCTCTCTATAATAGATGAAGACGTGCTTCTTCTACTCAAGTAGAAAAGCTTTTTTTGTTGATGAGGGAGCACATGCTTCATTCGCAAAAACTCGCCTTAGTTCATTTATTTACTTTATATTGATTGAGTTAAGCCAATCATTTTAAATAAGATTATGTCTGGCTGTTTGTCGCATGTTTGTCTTGTGTTATTCCTTATTTGTCTCTTCGCCTTCTTACTATTCTTGTTATCCGCCTTTTATTGTGTCCAAGATGCCATGTGATGTGTGTTGTAACCTATTGATGTTCACGTTGATTCTGGTCGAATGTCCTTGGTTGTCATTTTCTTCAACGAATATCGACGACGACGTCGCCTTCATTATTGTCGTTCTCGATGTTGTCTACTTCTTCAAACTCGTACTTACTTCAGAAGCTGTGTCTGTGTATGTATATATGTATGTGTGTCCTGAATTCTTAGAGCCAACAAAAGAGATTCGGCCATTTTTGGTGGTGCTTGCCCTGCGGGCTTTTCTTTTTTTCCCCTCCTCCTCCACAGATAGAAAGGGAAGAAATATAATGATTGAGAAGTAGAGGCAACAGAAGCAAAAGCTTTGTGTATGTGTGTGTGTGTGTGTGTGTATGTGTATGTGTATGCTGCCGTTAGAGAGAGAACCAAAATACGCATGTACTATGATCTTCATCACCTAAAATTATATACAAAGAACTAATTTGAATGTTTGAGTAGACGGAAAGAAAAAGAGTTACATGTATGTGAATGTTTGTGTGTGTGTATGCGCGTGTGCGTGTGTGTGTACGTGTGTGGCGTTCGGTCTCTTCCAATTTCATTTATAATCAACCATTTCATGTGGGTATGTGTGTGTGTTGTCTTTATCATTTATCACATCATTCATTTTTCTTTGAACAATCTCTTTTACGTGTCCAAAACTATCGATTCTGCTAATCCAGTGGAAAATGGCGAGTTTCGCTGCTGAGAACGACTATAAACTTTAAAATTTTCGATAAAATCGATTGTTTCACTCAATTACTTCCGTTCTTCACCTTCAACCTTATCTAACTATCGTTCTTCAGATGGATTATACGGTTACTGGCTCAGATACATTAGAACGGATAGCAGCTTTTCATGACTGCACAGTAGGAGAACTTATGAAACTTAATAGAATGAGCTCGCGAATGGTTTGTGCTGTGAGAAGCTTTTCTGTCCCACATTTTCCTGTTTTCAGGTTTTTCCCGGACAGAAATTGATCGTCCCCATTCCAGTATCTGATGATGTTTTTGAACAGACCAACTCCACAAAAGGAATTAACAATAACTCATCAACACGTCAGTTTCTTCATATTTATAACCTTCAATGCTGTTTTCAGATGAAGCACCTAAAAAGGGTCCGGGTCACGTTGTTCCTGCTCAAAAACATGCTCTCGCCAAGTCAGGCAGTGCTCCAGTAGGCAGTACCGATGAAACAGACGTTGATTGTCTACAAAGGTTTCTGAAAGTGACAGTATGTTCATTTCAAACAGTATTTTTCCCATCATATGCCTTTTCAGGTAAAACAAGTCACGGAAATAGATGGAACTGTGGCCGGAACACTTTTGGTGACTCCCAATTGCTTGATGTTTGATCCTGATGTCAGTCATCCTTTGGTGAAAGAGAACGGTCAAAATCTTTATGGAATGGTTGCTAAGTGAGTTGAACTCTTAAGTACTACATGAGTTTATTTTCATTTTCAGTATGGACGAAATCATATCCGTCTCTCTGTATAAGGAGATTGCTGCATTGACAGGAGATCGAGTAGAGAAAAAGAAAGATATTTTCGATCCGAATCATGTTCGAACTCCGGATGATTCAATTCCTTCCACGACAGGGACCATGAATGCTCAAATAGAATCTAATTCTTCCTCAGACGTTCCTGATGATCCTGTGCATGAGAAAGGTTCATCAAAATAGCTTTATGATCTTCTCAACTTGAGAATTTCAGTTGTTTTCACATGTGATCATCCGGATTCTGACGGATATGAAAGCGCAGTAGATGATGCAGTAAGTGTGCATTCATGAACATAATCTTCAATGAGCTTTTTTAGAATGGAGGGTCTTCAAAAACGGGTAGCGAATCTTTCCTTCCAGCTATAACAGAGGAATCTAAAGCTCTCGATTCGCCTGAAGAAACTGATAGACGTCGAGCTGTTAGTGATTTAACAGACTCAGAAGGTGAGATAACACTTCTTCAGAAATCTCATAGTATAGCCACTCTTAGGTATTGTTGTGCGTGGTCGGAGTAAAAGCCCCTCTTCTTCTTCCGAAGAGCAGAGGCCTCGCTCCTTCTCAGAACTCGATACTCCAATTCCTAATAATGGCATTAATCGCTTTTCGCCGGATGCTGCTAGGAGATCTTTCGGCAAGCTTGGCAGAACTTTGAGGTACTTAAAACACGCTTTTTTTCAATACGAATAGCCTTACTTCTAGTGCTCGGGCACGATCTGTTCATCAGTCTGTATCTCAGGGAACGAAGACTGTTGCTCATGGAGTAGTTACTCATACGAAGAGTGCTGCAGGTAAACGAATTCTTCGTTCTTTCTTCAATGACCAATGTTACTCGCAGATTCTCTACAATCAGGAATTGAAACGAGTGTGAAAGCCGTAGGAGAAGCTGCTAATGCTGCTGCAAATCAGGCTAAGGTTTGTTTTCCGTTTCACTTGAGTTCAATCATTCCTTATGCTCGTTTGTGGAAGTTATGGGCTATCGAAAAACAGAAGAAAATTATTCTTCAGCAAATTGAAAATCGATGAACCTCTCCGGCTTTTTCATATCCAATTTATGGTTTTTAGGCTGCCGCAGATGCCGTTGCCGGCGTTCCAAGTCGGATGGTAGATATGGGAACTAGTTTAGTATCAGATGGAATTAGTGGTGTTCAGGAGATGTTCAATCTAGAAATTGAGGTGCTGTTTCGTCTTTTGAAAATTATTTTGACCATATTTTGATTATTTTGACCGTTTTTTTTGAGATTTTTGGGTAATGTGTCGATCGTTCACAACTTAGTACATTTAAATACCTCAAAAACTGGACGAGTCTTCTCTCCAAAGTTGTTATCCTGCCTAATGGGCCGTGTAGCCACGACGTTTTTGTTGTTAAAGATCATATGAACTGTTAAATACCTATAAAAATCAACAATCGTTCCCTCATACCCTCATTTACAGGAGCAGAAGTCGCCGAGCCAACTTAAACGCGATCAATCTTTGGCTACCTTAGAAGAATTACGTGTGAAAACGCAACAAGCCAGAGACGAATCTGTGAAGACTAATAAAAGCCTGTGAGTTTCTCAGATTTTTTTGAAAAACTTTGAAATAGTCGCACCTACCTTGTTTTTCTTGTCGAATACAACCGCTCATGCGCTTATCTGATATGAAAATGAATAATGCGTCCACGTGGGGTTCACGATGAATTAATATGCTAATCAGCCTAAAGTTGTAACTGCACTCCGCAAAACGACCGTGAAGTTTATAAATTCATCAGCAAACAAAGAAATGAACACTAAACATTGAAGGAAAGGAAAAACTGTACGTGACATCATCATTTCAGGTTCGCCTGTGCTACAAGTAGTGAAGAAATGCCCGATCTGTTCATGCCGGTTGACGAAATGATGAAAAGAACGAGAACTGTAAGAATTACGAAACGGAAGCTTTAGTATTGGCGTTGTTTAAGACAAGTGAAGCTGAGTCACCGCAACTTCCATACTTCATGGCAGTACGCTTAACTCGCAGCAAGAAGAAGCAACGACGTAAGTTGCTTCCTTCATGGATTTAAAGTATTTGAGATGTTTTAAAAATTGAGAAAACATTTTTTGTTTTTCTCCAGAGCAACTCCGCGAAAGCGTTGTACACTCCATAAGGAAAGAGATTGTTTCGAGGGACGTGTACGTGTCTGAAATTTATGAATCCTTTAAGCTTTTTGAAATGTTGCTTTTATCGATTTTCGCTCACAAAGCCTGCAAGCACGCTGTGCAGCGAGAGATATAGGGATTGAGTGACCTTTAAAATTTACGAAAGAAACCATTGTTCCAACATTTCTCTTCTTCTGCGCCATCTTTAGATTCCCATCGAATCCTTCTGATTTATTTTGTGTTTCTCAGGTTCATCACCCACTGGTAGAAACTCTGTAAGCTCATACGACGAACAATTTACTTTTGGAAATAAATTGAAGCGAGAATTCTGGTGAGTGTTTGCTTTTCTTTGAAAAGTTTCGAATTCCTTTTAAGGTTCGCTATTCCCCGCAATAAAGCAGATAGTTTATATCATTTCCTGCTCCAGTGGTCTCCTGAAAAATACGGACAGGTGAATCAAGCCGTTTTCGTTTTGTTATTGTATATATGTGGCTTCAGGATACAACAGCAACATCGTTCGATGAATCAGCATTAACGACCATGAACGAGACAACGTCTGGAGAAGAAAAAGGCTTCCTTATTTTGGACTCCACAGTCGATGAGAGCTTGTCAAGTACGTTTAGCTACCTTATGAACATGTGCAACCTCGATAAGAGGAGGTTTAACAACATCGATTTCAACATAATTAGATTGTTATTCACATAAGCAGGTCATTATTTGATTTTGTCGTTCGCTCTGACGACTACCCCCAACTTGATAATTATTCTTCTCTGTTGATACCATTGTCTTAGTGAGTTACAAAACGATCTTTGAAGTTTTTCGGGTCAAAGTATCGACGGCTTATGACGTAACCAGAAGCTTCAAATGAGCTGATTTGAGAGTTTGATTAGTTTCAAGTCAGTGGATGAATCACAACTTCCGAAATTTCCATATATACTTGACGTCATCTAATGATAAGGGGTTCCTATATATACAGCTAGATGGACCAGTTAGTCATAAGGTGTTCTTTAATTCTTTTTTATTAGTTTCTTCATAAGTTGTTGACTGTTTGGGAAGTGTTGTCATTTATCTTTCCACCGACCTACGATTTTACGATTTCGAGGTCTCCTCTCATCAATTCATAATCCGACATCAGTGATCATCGCTCTGGGCTTGTCGTTCACTCCGTAATCCCCTTCATTTAATTTATAATTCCAAACGGACACATTGTTACCATAAGTTCAGCAGTCCAAAAATGGTTGAATACATTCTGTACTTCTGTATTCTTTTATAACTTTTCAAGTTCAACTTTTGAAATATATGATCACAGGTGTGTCATATGGTTTCTGTTTTGTTCCAAGTGATTTCCTGTCAGAATGAAAAAAGGGAAACCTGTGATTGAAATGTTCATATTGGCTTCCCAGAAGTTTTCAGTACCTTTCTAAATTGCTTGTTATCATCAGACATTGACATGTATGGCCTTATCGGGTGTCTATCGAAAACTACTGAACTCTCTTTCCACTCAACCTCTTGATCATGCATTCGATTCCGATAGTACTTAGTGAAACTTCTTTCGTTTCTTGTCTTTTTTCCTTTCCCGCGAGCTGTGATCTTGTTTTCTTATGTGTTGTGTTCACTATAAGAGAGAGAGAGAGAAGTAAGAGGATCCTAGGCTACAACTCAAAACGAATTCTGCTCCAGTACTTGAGTCTCTTTTATGGTTGTTGCCCCCCAAGAAAGATAAGCGATTGATTGCGCGTATGCGAATAAAAGCGGGATCTTCTTCAGCTTTTGCGTGTTTTCGTTCCTCCTCTCTTTCCTCCACACGACCCACCTGTCCTTTTACTTAACAAATTCTTTGTTTTGTCCTTTGCTAAGTTCGCGAGCGACGTTCCGGTTTTACAAAAATAAGAAATCTTGAACATGCCCATAATAGTGTGTTTTGAAGTTTCATTCGCATATCACTTTATACTTTACTAAAAAGATTTATGAATAATCGAGAAAAATATTTTGAAAACTGGAACGTCTATGTGGTTCTCACACGCTTCGTATAGTCGGGTTGTCTAGGCAGGTCAGGTGGCTGCTCTTCTTTCTCCATAATAGGCTATGCTCTTCATCTTATCGTCCAAGATTAGTGGGCGTCGTCTCAGGGAGATTTAGATAACATTTCATATTTATTGGCAGGTCACTCTCACTCTTGTTTTCATCGAATAACGGATCGTACCTGTTTACTTTGCCATCAAAAATTATTCAAAATGTCTCAGCCATCTATATTTTCATACTTTCCCCATGCACATGAGCGCTATCGCAAACAGTTTTGCCATTGTTTGGAGAGGCTTAACCCCCCTTATCTCCCAAAAATACCTAAATTTCCCTAAGTCTATGTTCTCCTCTCCATGTGCTCCCTATTTCCTTCCGGACTTTCAAAATATTTGCGCGATATCTTCTTTTTACTGTACTTCATCTGCTCGCATCAGTTCAAATCCTTGTTTACCCATCTCATGCTACCCCCCCCCCCCCCCCTCACCTCCCTTTGTCTTTTTTATATAAATTCTCTGCAAATTATGTCTTGCTCGTTTTTTTCTCATTTCTTCTTCTACTCACACGTCGTTTTAGAATATTCTAACATCTTCTTCAAATTACTTTTGACACGATGGGTGCGGAACACTCTTCTGAGATGCGCCCCAGATCGCATACTACCTTATCGGGAGTCCCGGAGAGTAGGAGACCACGTCTGAGCTGCCCTGACTACATGACTCAATATGATGTCAAACAGTTGATGAAACAGCAGGATTTTGATCGTCATAACAAGGACTTATCTTCTCATGATGACCAAACGGAAGAAGGCAAATCTGCTGATCCATTGCAATCCCTCCATCATCAATTTTCAAAAAACCGTCCCGTGGAAGCGAAACTTTCGGTCCGATCTAACGTCTCGGACATCTCTGTCGACTCTGGTCTCGAAGCTGATCATCTGGATGTTGCAGTGAATGGGGAAGATTCTCCTATACACTCAACGAATCATTCATCAACATCAATGGATCGTAATCAGATACCAAAGATTCTGATCGAGAATTCGACGCCCTTGACAACACCAACAACAACACCGACAGCCTATACACAGGAGTTGCCATTTCAAAGCATTCATCCAGAATTTCATCAAAAGAAGAAAATAAGCAATTTCTTCTTCTCAAAAAAACATCGAAAACACAACGTTGAGGAACGTGCCCGTTCGAAATCTCTCGGATCTTACACACTTAGCAGTTCGTTTTTCTATTTCTTTATTAAAGAGAGCAATTTGCTCATCTGGTTCTTGGACTTTATGTTGACTAACCCCCAGACTATGTATCGCCTTCAGATCTTTCTTTTCAATTAAGCTTCTTTTTCTTCTTCAACGTCCTCTTCTTCAGACCTCATTTCCGGTAGACTCTTTTTGGTCTCCAGTCTGGTGAAGAAAAATCTGTTGCATCTTCACACTCGCTCCTTATCCTTTCGTTTCCCCCAGTCCCAATTCTCATCCATACCGATCACTTTTGAACGTTCTCCCCCTCCCAACGTTTCAAGAATGAGAGGAAACTTGAATTTTATTCAGATCCCATCATCATAAACTTTCCTCCCCGTTTCGTTGATCGAATTTTAGCATCCAATTGCCCCAGAATCCACATACAAAGGCATTATTATTAAATTGTCTTGAAATAGTCTTGTATCATCACAAGTTCTCGCGAATTGCATATCATTTTCCATGATTAAGTTGCTCATGCTTAATAAGGAAAGCAAAAGCTGCTTCCCGCTGTCAAGTTAGATTCTCATTTTCCATCTTTCATCTCCTTCCAATACTGATAGTCTTTGGCTTTTCGACACTGCTTTTCTTGAATTACTGCCTTATTACTAGATTAAAAGTTTTAATTAACAAATTAATCTATGAAAGGAACTGGTGAGAGAGAGTGGGCAGAAGAAGGAGAGTGGGATGAAGAGGTAGAGAGGTAGTGAGGTAGAGAGAAACGCTGTGGGGGAGGGAACATGAAAAAATAAAACAGCGAAAAGATTCATCCATGAATTCTTCTCCGCTAGCCCACTACTACAACTCATTGAATGTTTAATTCAGCTCTTATAACGAGACGTTCTAAAGACTTCAGAAGGAGAGACGAGGAACTTAGCATTCCTTTGCATATAACCCGGCCTCCAATCGAGAGCGTAAAATTGGCTGCACCTATTTTGCTCATTCTTTGTCGTCCCCTCAAAAAAGAAACAACACGGCTCGACCTTTAGCCAAATGGTTTGAACCTCTTCATCCACACTCCAAAGCTGTGATCATTGAGACGAAGCTTTAAATGTTTTATTATGCTTAACATCTTCAAACAGCTGATGCTAAACATCTTATTCTTTGTCTGAAGACATGATTGCAAGAGATGTTAAGAAAGTTGTTTTTCATATTTTGACCTCTTTCTCTCTTCACCCTCTCTGATCATCTAACTATATTTCGTCTTTGCCTGCCACACTCTAGTGAAAATCCAAACACCCCCCACCACTTTCCTATTTGTCTCTCGGAAAATATGTTGTCTTTAGGTGTGCTCGTTGCTTCTTCTTCGTTCTTGCACATGCCACCGTCTGCTTTTCTTTTGCATTTTGTGACATCTTGTCACACAGGAAAAAAACCATTGAAGTCTATGGCAGTTGCAGTAGATGTACTCCTTTACTCCATCTTCTTCTTCCTCTTCCTCTTCTCGTTCTTCCGAGCTTTCTTGACAACTTTAAGTTTATCATCAACGAACTCCTTCCTTTGTCTTAAATTTGGAACCGCAATTCGGGGGTGCTGAAGGCCGGACTAATGAAACGACATTTCTCGCTTCATCGGGTGTGTCGTGTCTAATCTGCTCCATTGGCTTACAGCTTGCTCCGCCTCCCTAAAGAAACTGAGGAAGTCTCTTCCTTCTTCCTCCAAACAGATTCCCTACTCAGTAGACGTACTCAATGGCGTGTCTTTCGAGTATGCCTGGGGCAGGTTCTCAACCATCCCACTCGTCTTATTAGATGACGGAATCACATGAAGCTTGAGAGTAGCATGGTACTTTGTGAGAGGATACACTCCATTGCCGTTCCCACTAAGCAATATCTGTCCTTTGCTGTTATTTCATCCTGTTCCATTCCATTTTACATTTTAAATCTTTGTTTTCACTATCATAAGCTGGTAATACTATCCGTAAACCTTCCAAAATTGTTTCTATTTTCATTTCTTCTGAAATAATTTCCGAAAGATACACATCACACAGATCTTTGATTACTTTTCAACTCGTTAAATATTCATTATCTGGATGCTCGTGTTTCATAAAAAAAAGTAACAGAGTTTGCGTTCACTTGGGAATAAGAAAGTGAAAATATATATATAAGGAGAGAGAAAGAGAGGTGAGAGAGAAAGAGAGAGGGAGAGAGAGAGATAGATGGAGAGAGAAATAAAACTCAACCGTTCTGCACGTGGCGTCGTTTACGAATGATGCCTCTACTATTAGCCTTCTTCTTGAGTTGCAAATCCACGTGAAAGTTTGAAATATGCAAATCACCATGTTATGCTTTTGGGAAAAATCGTTCTTCTTCGGCTCTCTCTTTGTTTGCGAATTAGAAATCTGATAGGAGTAATGAAATAAGCTATGGTAATTCGCATTACCATTGGATACTTTCGCTTTAATGTTTTTCTGCAAACGATTTAGTATAATGCAGCTTCTGAGAAGGAATCTCGTCGTCTTTCTCTGTTTTCCTGAAATATCTTGCAATATCTTAAGCAACTCTTCTCTTTTTCTGCTCAATTTGTTCATCGTTTTTTCTAGATCTTGAGCTCGCATCAGCTAAAACTCGTCGTTCATTCATTGCTTCTAAAGTATCCTCATACTTCATCAATGCTGTCTCAATTCATGGATAAAGTCCAAACGTCGACGACGTCACTGGCTTCTAGCATTAGCGTAGCCTCTTCTGAAGAAGGCATCCGAAGTCTTGGAGCTAGCATGCGTCGTTTATCAGTGCCATTGAGTAAAGCTGGTCGTGTTAGTCAACGCCGATTCAGCCAAATGGTAACTGCTATTGGAGAAGCCATCGATCAAGAAGTCGAGCTTATGAGTGGTATGCACTTGGACATTCAAAGTAGTGAAGCTTACCACGAAATCTGTGTTTTGCATATCTAGGAATGACCTCCAAAAATATTTTAATAACAAATTGAAATCTATTTTTGATCGTGTTTTTACAAGAGATGGGGTGGGGGAATGTTTTTCGAAAGCTGCTTACTTTTGCCCTTATCTTCGGAGCAGAGGACCTTCACCTGCTTTATTCAGCTTCATAGCTTGAAAACAACCTAAAAAATGTCCTGCCAACTGTGTCAACAGTCTAATTAGATTTGAAAATAAAAATTATTCCTTCCCTTTTCCTGAATCTTATTCAAGTACGTATTTCCAGGCGAAAAACCAGGCCCTTTGTTTGGTTCTTCATTGCTTAATCGAGAATGGGAGTTGGTTACTGTATCAGAATTATGTCGAAGACTATCTCTGGATGGCAAAGATTTAGAATTGCCAATTCCGGAAGGATCGGATAAATCTCAAATTCTGGACGAGCTCATGATTAGACAGGTGAGCAATCTCTATCTTTCAAGTTTCTGCTTTCGTCAAATGTTTATGGATGTCACCTTATTTTCGGAAATACTTCCGAGATCTCTATTTCGCACAAAGCGTCTTAGGGGACAACTTTCTGAAAACTGCTGAGTTTGGTTTAACGATGTGAATGCTTCATTATGGTTTCACCAGCTCAAAGACTAGCACAATCAGAATCCAAGCTTTTCAAGTCACGAACATTGACAATTTAATTTTTGCAGATTGTGGAAACACTTCCTCCTCGAGCAATGGGATATCCTTGGGTGAACATTTACAGCTCTGAAAAACATGGCTTCTCATTGGCTACTCTCTACAGGTAAAAAAATATTTTTTTGTCTCTTCATCTTGATGATAAGCTGCGTCTATATTTAAAGACTTTCTTGTTTTCATTTGAGTGCTAAACATGTTTTCATTGCAGAAAAATGGTTGAATTCGATGAGGACCTTTCACCTGTTCTTCTTATCATTCGAGACACTGACGATCACATCTTCGGAGCCATTGTGTCTGGCGCTATTCGTCCTTCTGATCATTTCGTTGGTAAATAAGCTTCTTCATGTTCTTAGTCATTATGTACATTGTAACAGGTACTGGAGACTCTTGTCAACTATGGCGGTTCACCGGCCAAGCTCCTAACACCAGAGATTTACGGCCATATCAATGGACTGGTGAGAACCAGTTCTTTGTGAATGCCAACAAAGATTACCTGGCTATCGGAGCAGGCAGTGGACATTATGGTCTTTGGCTTGATGGTAATGTTTGCCACACTTTCACACCTTCTAACTTCATGCTTTTGCAGCTGATTTGAATCATGGACGTTCTCAACGATGTGATACTTTCGACAATGAGCTTCTCGCAGGAGACAAAGAAGATTTTATCGTCCAATATGTTGAAGCCTTCGGTTTCAGGATGTAAGACGTTCTAGAATTCTGATTCTTGACTTCTGAACTGAGATCTCATCTACCAAAGTCTTCTTCTTCTTCTTCTTCTTCGTTATCGCTCTCCTCCATTCTTGTGAGCGAACAATGGCATTTGGGCCTTTTGTCCATGTATTGTCGGGATGCAAGTCTCTTCCTGCACGGAACTTTTATTGTTTTAACTTGCTTATACACAACTATTGTCCAATTATGGTGATATATCTACCGGTATAAGACAGAGAGGGGACATCACACTCCCTCTTTCTCCGCACAAATCTAACTTTATGACATTTTCTGTACCATATATCTATTTTTTGTTTCTCTCTTCTTCCAGTCTCACATTTTTCTAGTGATTCAGATTGTTTTATGATCCTTTCATGTATATTTCCTCATCACCTTCTCTATTCGTGTGATTTGTTTCAAAACCCTCTTACATTGTATAAACTTCTAAACTATTTTCATTGTTCGCTTGAAGTACTCTGGGAACTTCTTTGCTCAAAACATTACGAGTATCCTCTTAATTTCTTTTTGTTGTTTTCTAACATTTTTTTTCTTCCTCCACTTCAGAGTCCTACTTCCCGCTTTATGGAACTTCCAATTCGCCAGATTCGGATCGTTCTCTGACTCAATAACTGTCCAGAGACTTCAATCATGCCCAACAAACTCATCCCATCAAACTCAAACTATGCGGGGGTATAGCTCACTCTGTCTTTGATATCTTTTTTTCATGAGAGTTGTGAGCTTCGCATCTGAGTCAAACACCAGCTCCGGGAGAGAACCTGTAAACAAGATTAAGACATTTGAAGAAAACTACTCACGTATGGATTACTTTGTCCTACACGTATCGATTCTACGAGCAGGCACTTTCCTTTTATAACTCACGATGTTAGCAGAAATTGCTTAATCATGAAGTTCAGGGATTACACAAGTGAATTTCCTCGGGTTAGTAGTTTGCATAAGCAGACTTACTTTGATAATCGTAGGCACTTTCAGCGAACTTTGAAATGATTTCAATGCTTCCTAACGATCATATGCATCTATGCAAGCTGCTCTCTGCAAGCGCTATTTTCGATACAGCTGATACTTGAGAAGATGGCTGTATTTAGAAGTTCTTAATAATTAGTTAACGCACTCCGTTTACAAGCGTTGCTGTTCGTTGATTTCAAAAACTCTAAACAGCAGTTCTCGCCTTTGTTTTGTTCCCATTTTCGTCTATTTTGCCCGAGAAGTGACTTGATCGAACCTTGTTACCACTTACGTATATCAGAGAAGATGCTAATTCTGAGTTTGAGAGTCAAAAACTATCATGTTTCCCCTATATTAAGAATATTTTGTTCAAGACGACCAAATGAAGCACGAAAAGTGGAGCTCAGCTTTGCTCTTGCAAGAAGTCTTCAGACACAGAGTGTGAGGAACACTTTTGTCTTGCAGATAAAGGCTTGCTAATGTGGCTATCGGTTCATTTCCACTCATTTAGCTTCATCTTTTCACTTCAAGGACTCTCAATCATTGTTCTTTCAAAAATTATGTGAACTATTGGAAACCAACGAACGATTACTTCTCACTCTGAGCATTTCTGGTTGGAATGTCGGGTGGTACGGCCTAATTCGTTCGCATTGCTCATTCGTAGAGGCTTCGAAGAAGCTAAACTTTTGAGGAACAAAGAGCATGCTGAGTTAGGAGAGTCCTGACAATAGTTTGAGGCTAAAGTGCGGTTTGTTTCCATTTTTGCATGAAAAAGATTTTGGCACGGCTGTTCATGAGACTACATTCACTCACTAAACCGAAGAAACGTAATAAAGAGATCGCAAAGATGATCTTGCTTATGTGGAAATGAATTTCATTCCTTTTTCTTCTAGTGATAGACAAGCTTGATCTGCTTTCACGTTCCAGACGGTTGTTCTACATAAAACTATGCTGGGATACAGTCTTTCGGATCTATTCCGATCACGAATAGAATGCAGGCACCTTCCCTAATCAAAATTTCGTGTTCGATTGGAATATGGGAGATGTTTTCCGTCTGATATCATTAATTTTTGTCAAATTTATTAAAAACGCTTCAGAAATCTGCTAATGAAGGCTCTTCTTTCATTAAACGACAACAGTAAGCAGAACAGCTTGCACTGGTGGGATAAAACCAAAAATCTTCTGATCGTTCAAAAGTTGAAATGACAATCCGCGAACAGATCTTGCTTTACAGCTCCAAGATATAATGCAGATGAACCATTTCTTAGTGAAGGAAAAGAGTTGTGAAAGAAATTAAATCTAAGTGGTCGATTAAGTCTAGAAAATAAGAGAGTGCTCTGGAACGTCAGAGAAGCAGAAAATCGCCGTGGTAACGCCTAATTACGTACAGTTTGATGATCAAATAATCTTTCAAAAGTTGTCTTTATTCCCCTTCTCTCCTTCAAACCTCTTTGTATGCTGTTCAACTACTTGTTATTTTTCATTTTAAAGATTAATTTTGTATTGTTCTGTCTCAGACATCTGCATTCATATACTTCATAGTCCAGAGAACCTGACCGTTGTCGGTCTTTTATAAATATTGCGAAAGCTTATTGGTAGAGCATAACTTGTTGTTCATCATCGCTGAATCTTAAAATCGTTGTGGGCTATCATTTCATTTATTAACATAATCCTCCTTTCTTCATCAATGGAGGAAATGTTACCTTTCAGCATGACGAATGAAAGAATGCAACGCTTCTGAGTTTGTGACTATCGAATGCAAACATTCGGTGCTATTCTGATAAGACTTAGATTTGTCCAAGTCCAAACTACAGCATGAGCCAGGATGAGAGGAATGAGCTCACCGGCTGACACCGCTAACTGATCCATTTGGAATCTTTGATGGCACATATACCCTCGTAAGAAGCCGTGAACTAAAAGTTACGTGAAAAGCATTTTCACATGAAAAAAGAATGACCCGGTTGTTCTCTTTAAACAACAGGTAAATGTTGATTCTGAAAATGTCAATGAACTACATTAAGCATTTCCAGATCAGTGTTTCAATCTTAACAACAATATGAGGTTAGTTTTTTGAGTTAGCATGAATGGCTGGTCCGCGTCTTCTTTTGATTTGGAAACAGGTATTTGTACTCCGGCTGTGCTCATGCTTAATATGATTTGTGGGACAATCACCATATATTCGAAAATGAACAACACTGGTAAGAATTGGAATAGTGATGAGTTAGTACCTTGATGCTTCTTCCTATGAGTTCATTCGAAGAATCTCCGCATTCAACTTGTTCTCATTCGTGTTACCAGCTGATCAGTGCATGTATATCACCAAGCAAACAGAATATGCATTGTAGCGTGTAATAATGAAGGGATGTAGCCACAAACAGTTTTTTTCTAATGTTACAAGCACATTCACAGAATTTCTTTCTTCCTTCATGCCTTCAGTGATCATTTGTCCATTGTCACTCAGTAGAGACACATCACAGTCGCGTGTAGCGAACGGTTCTATCAATGGAAATTTTTATTCTAATAATGTATTGCTTATCCTTTGTCGGAATGTTCACCATAGTCTTTTCTATGTACCTTCTCTTGACTGTTCCCACCAAACTGACTCCCTTCACGCGGTTTGTCATTCACGGACATGATTTGATGTAAGTGATATCATTTACAACTCTTAACTAGACTTTACCTAGCACTGGCTTCGCCCAACTCTTTGGTACCCTTGGAGTACAAGCGCACATCATATTCCCTTGTGCTAGTGGCTATACCACAGGCTTATTCACTCAATTAAGAATTTTAAGTACCTTAAACCAGACCTGGGTGCAAGTTGCTCTTATTGCTGGTAACCAACTATTTTTGAAAATGCGTATGAATTAGGATTATTGTTTCCAGCGACTGCTTCGTTTTCTATATTACTCGTGCTACAGCGTGCATTAGCAGTAACAATGAGGATCCCTGAGAAGTGGAAGATATGCTTTATTAGAATGTATCTACTTCAATTCCTTACGCAAATAGTGTGTACGCCTATCGTTGGCCTCAACTTGAAGGATGGTGGTGAGAAAGCTCGACAGATCTGTAAAGAGGTAGCTATCCTTGTCCTTCAATTCAAAAAACCTTTTTTTTAGAAGAACAAGAACTACCCCAAAGAGATGGATATTCTCGGTGGACTCAATATAATAGTGACGCAAGACATTTTCAATGTTTTTGGACTGTTTTATGTCTTGATGTGTGCTCTTTGCTACATGTTTGTCGCGGCTGTTGGTGGCACGATTTTGGTTCTGAGTGTCAGGAGTCAAGGGAAGATGACGCAGTCTACTCACTTCATAGCCAATCAGCGTAGAATAACTCTTGGTGTTATATACTTCGTTAGAAATGTTTCAATACCTGAATGAAACAGAATGTTCAGATGATGCTGGAGGTGATAGGAGTTGGTGTCCCTGTTGTTTGTTTTGCTGTCTGTTGCGTTTTCAATATGGGTAACTTATGTAAGTGTTCAGTTTGAATGCAGTTTCACGTGTTAACACTGCCCTTTCAGTAGTTTCTCATTACATCATCATCAGCATGTGTATCTATCCTATCTTCAGTCCTTACTATGTGCTCATGTCCAACGCGGATTATAGAAAAAAGGTACATGGTGTATTGAGAAAAGGTAATTCAGATCATGTGTTTTCCTTTCTTTACTCTCCATGTTCTAGCTCGAGAGATGACACATCTACCTCGTTCTCACTCAGGTACTGTGGTCATCTGATGGTCATTACATAGTCCTCACTTCATTAGAACGAATTCTGGATCAGTATGCACACGAAATAGAAAGGGACTCAACTTTGTTTTTGTCGTTTGTCAAAAAGGGAGAGCTGCCTCAATTTGGAGGCTTGTATCCGCCATCATCGACAATTCTGAGAAATCTCCGATGATGGCGGATTATATACTTGTTTCAATCAACTTCTTTTTCATTGTTTTCTCTCATTGAGACTGCTCGGGCAAAGTATATGTTTCCTCTGAAGGTTCACAATCATGGAATTTATAAGTTTCTGAAAAATAAATATTTGTAGTAAATGCAGTACAACCATCCGACATGAAACACATGGTGAAGGTAAGGTCGAGATATTGCAGGAATGCGAGAAGAAGGGGCTTCGGGTGAAAGATTTCAAGGGTTTAACACAATAGAACATTTGGTAGCTGTCTGGGATTTTGGAAATAGTGTTCTTCATCGGCTGGGAGTGAAACATGAGGCGTACGGAACACATTTCGTGAATGAAACAACTCGGAAGGGACTTCTGTTTGAAAGAACTCCGTGATTAAGAAACTCAAAGGGAGTTCGGAGGTATAACAGAAACTAGAACCAAATGAAGAAAGAGTGCCCAACATGAAGAGGGTAAGAACAAGTCAGACGAATAGAGTGTTTCCTATAAAACGCCTTATCACGTACGTTTTTTTCATTCTCTAATTAATTAAAGTGAAATTAATTTTTTAATTCCCTAGAACAATTAACTTGTTTGATCCTGAATAACGTATAGCTCAGCTGAAGTATGTAGACAGCAGTATCACAACATCATATTGTTCTAACCTTATAACTTATTCTTCATAGAACACTGTTCCATTACAGGATCCCGGTTGTACTCTCGTTGCTTCCCAACTCTCTTCCGTCATAAACAGATATTATTGCTCAGCTTCTCTGACGATGTGATCACGAATAGTACAAGAAGCTACTGTTCGCGATCTCTAACGACGAAAAGTTGATTATGAATGAGTTCTTACTTGGGTTGTACATATGATGTTCACCTGTCGTCAACCGACCAGTACGGAATACAACTGTTCTGAGCGGTTGAGGTTTGAATGCTACTTTTATTCTTTAGCTTATCAGATGTAGCCACGCTTTGCCCAGGTATAATCAATGTGTCATGAGCCGATGAACTTCGTTTCTTCTTTTTAGATTATCTCCAAAGAAAGAGGAACGGAGCTCGCTAGCACATACGGCCAAATGATTTGTTTTGGATTTTTGCTGGCATAAATACCCCTGTCAGAAGCCGTGAACAACAAGCCACGTGAAAAGCATTCGTAGATGGAAAAAAAGAGGTCCGGTCGTTCATGAAAGTGAAACAGGTAAAACTTGAGGAGAACTCAATGAAGTTCGCTATTTCCATAGATACAGATGTGGCATTCACTTATGAATTCAAAAACAGTGGTTACGTACGATGAGAGAGGCCTGTAGAAGAGGATTGGTTGATGTGCTCCAACACGAAATGATGACAATTGCTATGAGATTGAGGTTTGTAGTCTGATTTGTTTGTTTCAGTTTCCCTCATTTGTCATCAAAAATGCCAAAATGATGTTCGAGCTCGTTTACTTGAAATGAGCGGGAAAGTCAGTCGAAAGTCAGTCAGTGAGCGGCGTGTTCTTGTGAGAGAAGGT